TAATCAATTAGTTAAACACAAGAATCTAAATATCTATAAGTTAGGAACTGTTCAAGCTTGTCTTCTTGGTGATAGTGAACAGCTGTAGCTAAGCCTTAGTTCTCTGTGGGATTCGACTCCGGACTTGTAAACCGGATTATATTTGCAACGACCGCATTGTCCTTTTTATAAGGCATAGTTGGGCGTGATCAATAATACATATTTTATACACTTTTTTGCTAGCAAATGCGATTAATTTCGGTCGGCCAAGTTAATTTTATATTTTGCCCCACTCCATTAGATTATTCTTGGAGTAAATAAGCTACCGAAAATTAGTTCTTAAAAAGTATTTTTGAAAAGTAATTTTGGGTTTTGGGGTGGGGGGTGCGTTTGGATTAGTATTGAGACACTTCTTTTGAAAAATATTTGTGTTTAGATTATGATAGCTAAAGAAATGAAAACCACAAATTGCAACCCACAAATTATGAACTATTTCTATTTCACAATACTTGGAAGATGAATTATTTCAAATAATTCTGTTTTTTTTTTTCAGTATTCAACTTCAAGTTACAGCTTGTTTGGATGGTTGTTACGCATTGTTTCATAATATATCGTATCGTACTGTATTGTATTGTATTGTATTGTATTGTATTGTATTGTATCGTTTGATAAATACAATGTTTGGATAGATTGTGTTGTTTGCCATCATTTCATGATATCACGCACCAGCAATATGAAGAATAAACTTGCAATATTATAAAAAGAAATTATGATACATGATAAAATTACTATATAAAAAGGTAGGGTAAATGATAAAATAAAATAATTTAATAATAATAAAGGGTGAGATTGAGAGAAAAAGACAAGGTAACGACGCGACCACACCAAATCGGTTGTTACATAAAGTGACACATTTCGTCGTTATGTAACGATGGATATAACGATATGATACAATACAATTAAAGTAACAATCAAAACAAACATTGTATTTAAAGTAACAATACGATACGATACGATACGATACGATACAATACAATTAAAGTAACAATCAAAACATTGTATTTAAAATAATAATACAATACGATACAATGGTAACAACCATCCAAACAAGGTGTATAGAATTCCTACAATATTTTTCCAAATAAACTTCGTACTACAAGCTATTTGGAGTTTTATACTCTTTTTCAACTTCAACTCAGATTTGTCCAAACGCCTACCTAGTTTTCCAACAGTTGGGTTAAACATAATGCCAAATAAAAACGAACAATCTAGTGTTGTCTTTAAAATATTCAACATCACCTCAATTCCAAATTAATTAGATCCCACTACACAAAGCTCGTTTTATGGCTTAAAAAAGGTAAATAAATATAAGTTGACAATAAATTCCAAATCTTGTTTGACACTAAATTGTCAATAAACGAGTGAACCAACGAAATTTAACCAATGGCATGAACTAAGCTCTTTGAAACCAAAGCATTATTTGCACACTTTTATTTCTAATGGTGAATGCAGAAGAGTATATACCCTGAGATACATCGAGAGTTTCTTCTATGAGACTTATAAAAAAACAATAAATTACTGCAACTTTAATAATCGTTGGTTGTTCAATATGAATGCCTCTTTTGGCGGGTTCAGTAATATATAAAGGTGAGGTGAGAGGTATAGAGACATGGTGGATGGTTTTGTATAGTAACATATAGATACAGCCATGTCTCATGTCTGGACTCGTCCACAACTCCAGCAGTTGTCTTCAATCGCAACCTCTGTCGGACTTATTTGAGCAGTTCTGCAGCTTAATTGTTAATCAACCTATAGTAACTTATCCTCTTTTCTCATTCAACTTGGTATGAACTAGAGCTTTGGTCGGACAGAAGGTGGTTTTCTGAACGGTCTCAATAAGCCCTCTTGCGTCAATGACACTACAAGCTGGAAATCAACAATCATTAAAAATAAGTACATTAACAAAAGCAAGACACGTTTCGGATCAAGCGCTTTACCTCTCCCTTCCTATTAAACATTTCGCCCGACACAAAGCCACGTGCATTATAAGCAGCAGGACTGGTGATCTATAAAATGATAAACAGTTAGAACTCCAGCTGCAAGTAATGGAAACCACTAGTAGAGGGATGACCATTCTTAAATAACATCATAAGTACTTTAGTTTTTCCTTCTTACCACAAACAATATCCAATCATCAGCTCTAAAAGGTCTGTGGAACCACATCCTGGGAAAAGGAAACAAACGTAAAAATATAAGTACAGTTGCATGTTAAAAACCCGATGAAAGACACTCGCAATTCAAGTAAGAATATCAACCCTGAACTCAAATTTGAACTTCAAACTCCACAGTACATCACGGATGCCCCATTTTCAACTATTGGTTTTTGACTAGCAGGTCATGGGAAATTCCATCAAACTCAGCCATGGGTGTGTTAGGTAGGGGCAACCTTAAATGAGGATAGGACAGGGCTCAATAAAAGTTTGCAAGGACTATAGGATGTGGTTCCCCACCCCGTAAAATGTCACTAACCATCAGAGGGCACTAGCAATTGCTTCAAAAGACCGTAGTTCATGGCTGTGGAATCAATGGATGAAGGCATGTATAGACGCATATATGTATTATAGTTTAATATAAATAAGCTTTCCACCCTTCTCAAAAACAAACAAATAAATATGCCTTCCACCATATTCTTCTCACTAATTCCCTGTGCTATTCCATTATGTGTGATGCAATTTGACTAGGGATGGAGTTTTAATGTGACTTTACGTTGTGCTATATACCGGTATGAATAAAATAAAATAAAATATAAAATAATAGTTAAGCGTGATATCAAAAACACTATAATATTGTTTTAAATTAAAACTACTAATCAGGATTGAATTCTTAAAAGAAGTGAGAGTTGTATCTTTTTAACTATTTTCACACCCCCGCCAAATTTTAACATCTCTAGATCAATTTAGCTCTAGTAAAAGATGAAATAGTCGATATGATGGCACCCTTTTCCTTTTCTTTTTTAGATAAGGTACCTGTTTCTTGACATGCATCTTGTTAATTTCAAAAGTTGGTTCTTGGTAAATTATTTTTTCCTCTTTAATTTCTTTGACAATTTAGTTTTTGTGTTCAAGGCTCAAATTTTTATTTCTTTATATTCACAGTGATATTCGTCTCTACATGTTTAAATATTGGACTGATACGGGTCTAAATAGAGCAACATAGTTGGAGAGAAATTTCATAGCCGACCTCAATTAACTTGTATTTGTTGTTTCTATGTACATTCAAATTGACTTTTCTGCTCTCTTATTCTTCACAAACTTGTGCATTTATGCATAGGGTGATGCAATGGGTTTCAGGGACTCATGGCCGGCTGCTTTGTTTAGATTCTCTCACCTGATTTAATGAACTTTCTGATTAAATGTGACTGGTTATCGCTCTTTTAACTAGTAATAACTACATGTTTCTCACATAAGAAATAAGAATCAGCTTTATAATCCAGACCAGACATACCCAAAGAAAAAGGAGAAAAGGCAGAAATAAAAGAAGTGAGAGGAGATAAGATGGTATGAAAGTTCTCTCGGTGGTTAGACATGCCGAGGTGATCAGAAAGAACAGAAATGGGAGGTAAGGAGAACCAGCTGTGAAAGGGAAAGTTGGACTTCGACATTTGAGGGGCCAAAAGGAATCATGAAAGCCTGATGTTTAGGAGTTGGGAACCATTTCCCGAAGACCTTTATTAAGCTTAGAACAGCATGTATCAGTGCATCCATATAAGCTCGCTTAGGCAAACATTGAGATATTCCCCATAAATATAAAGCTGGTACATAAAATAAAATACAAATGGTCTAAAAGTTGTTCAAAAGTTAACGGAACTCACGAATGATCCAGACTAACAGAACTTGTCTTGAAATCCTTCTTCCGATGAGGATTCAGACTGACAGTAAGAAAGATTAGATCCGATGCAAATGCTGCAACACATCTGCAACCAACATAAATATTGCATAAAAAAGATGCAGACAGCATTATGGCCTCATTCCACACAGATGTAGAAACTTATGTAGCTAAGAAATTACATGTTCCTGATTTTAATTTCTTTTAATGTTCCCTTTTATGGTAAATATGCACCTACAAGGAAGAAATACTGATTTTTTTTTAAACTAAAACTAAAAATAATTTTTGAACTGATATTAGCTATACACCATCCCAAGGGGGAGGTTACATAGAAGTGCAGATACACAAACTCATGTTCGTTTGTGTACCTCAAGTGTCCTTTAGAACTCTTTAATTTTACAACTAGAGCTATTCTAGTACAATAACAAATCTACTCATGAGAGTCTCTAATTGAGATATGTTAAAAGAATATTCTATTTGAACAATTTCAGAATAATAATTTTGTGGGAAATAGATTGTGCAATAATTTTCAAAACAATAATTTTGTGGGAAATAATTGTTCATAATCATAAGATGAGGCTGCTGAATTGCCTGCTTCACTCCTTGTCATTACAAGCTCAGCTAATTAGATGAAAGAACTGATAAGAGGAATCACTTACCTATGTAATGCTTGGTCATCTGAAAGTTTTCCTTTTGCTCTGAACCAATATCTCAAACTGCATTACATTGAAAAGAGATGATGCAAACATGAAGAGGATACACTACTAAATAGTAAATACAAGCTAACATGAACTGTCCAGTACTCCAGTTGAGTTAATTACAGTCCATCAGAAGGGAAATTAATAGCTGAAAGCAATGACTAACCTTGGAGGAGACTTGGTCTGATTAGTGGCATTATTAGGTTCACAAAACCTTATTTCTATTGGCCAGGGTACAAAATTTGCAGTAGCAACCTTATTGCGGTATGTCCTGTCAAAACTCACTGTTAGTATTACCTACCAAGGATCCCATAAATAAGTAACCGCAAACTGAATAAAAAGCTTTATGCAGCTCCTAATTTTCAGATCTCAAGACATAGTAGGAAAATATGCAACTCACTGAATCCTGATAAATGTTGTTCCTCGCATTAATTAAATCTACCGTTGTCAAAAATGATTTGAGGCTGAAGTTAGTGTGCTAAGATCAAGACCGACATGTCTATTCTCAATTAAACCTTGCTAAAGAAAAGATAATTATTTTCATGCCAAGGCCTAAACAGTTACTTCCACCACTTCATGGTGCCTTCCATAAGATGACAGCTAAAAAACGATTTGAATTCAAAGAGGGAAAAAAAGTCAAGTTTCAACCTGTTCTGTTTTCTTTTTGAAGGAACAATAAGCAGCCCAGTGCACTAAGCTCCCGTTATGCGCAGGGTCGGGGGAAGGGCCGGACCACAAAGGTCTATTGTACGCAGCCTTACCGTGCATTTCTGCAAGAGGCTGTTTCCACGGCTCGAACGTCACATGGCAATAATTTTACCAGTTATGCGAAGGTTCCCCTTCTTTTGAAGGAACAATCAAAACAAGAAAAAGAAAACTAATGCTCTCACAGTAATCCCAAATCGATTCCCTAAAAAAAGTCCGTTTGCTTACGAAAAAACAAAAGAAAACAAATGCGTTCCTTTGTTCACATGGAATGAGATCAGGCAGTTGAATTACATATCTTAACAGCTAAATAAGTCATAGCTCGGTGGTTGGACTGGGAGCCAGACTGATACCACAGAAGGATGCTCCTATTAACAAGAGACTGCCAGCAGCATCCTTACTCATATTGCTAAATTGTGCAAGCAGATATTGCATTTTCCAGCCTTCTCTTATGATGTTTCTTTTTGTTTCTTTTTTTGTGGATAAGTAAGCATCCATCTCTAATGATATTTTTGCCAAGTAGTCTATTTTTTGACTGAAATGAGATTAAATGGAGCGACGTGGTCAGTGAGGTTTCTATACCTGAACCCAAATTGCTTGGGATTGAGGCGTATTAGTAGTCTAATTTTTGTGATTTTCTCCAGGTTTTTTATCCTTTATAGTAACTTTTCTGGTTAAGATTCTTTTCTAAGTGCTAAGCATGAAATTCCGAGTAGAAGTAGCATAAAGTGAATTAGGCCAAAAAGGATTGGAAAGTGTAACTAGGACGTAGTTGTCGCAAGAGGTACCATCTTGCTAAACTTAAGGATCTTAGAGTTCCTATAGAACATTATTAGTTTTTCGTGTCCATCACTGTCAGCTGCTTCTATCTACAAAGAAAAAATTTATAGGTGTTCCATTATATTTAGCTTACATCTTTGAAAGCAGTAGAAAGAGCTGATTCTTTGAAGCCTTGCATTAATGGCCTTAGCTAATGGGCATTTTCCTCCAAAATGGGAGTTAAACTACCTCTTTAAGAATGAGATGAACAATGTCAGCGCACAAATTTGTGGAACCATATTGCAGATATTTCCTCCCTCTCTTGTTATTCCCTTCTCTTGTCCAATTCACTTCTTCTCTCCTTCACCTGTACCTTTTTCTTATCTGTTTTCATCCAAAACTGCAGCATCTATACTAATGGATACATAGTATGGATCTCATGGTTTTAATGTGTTGAACCGTGTTACATATATCTTCTCCTCCCTCCATCATCCCACTTGAGGGCTCCTCCCAATGCTGCAGCATCTATTCTCCTCTTTCGTCATCTCAATCTCATTTTCCCTGTTATTCCTTCTGTCACAAGTCCAGTTTCACTTCTTCCTCCTCTGCTAGTACCCAGCCCTATTTCTCATCTCTTCTCATCCAACACAGCCACATCTTTTCTACACCTCTTTCTTCATCTCCCTCCAGCTCCAAGTAATTCTGCACTATTTCCATTTCTTTACATCTGGACAGATTTTTCCCCGGTCTTTTCTCCTGCAGTTTTCTCTTCTATCTAAACTGAAGCAGCTCTAATCCATCAAGTCATTCATTATTTGGTACTCAGTCTTCATTCAATTTCAGACTCACAAGTTCTAACTAAACCTTAGCACTTCCAATTTGAGAATGAACCCACCCAAGCAACCCCAACTGAAATCTCATAATTATTTCATTTCTTCTAAAAGTGAAGATGTGGTTAGTCAGGCTTGCCATGAGAAATGTGTAATGAGATTCATGACTAACCAAAAACTTGTACTGCAACATCCGCTTTGAAGCCAAAGTATTCAAGAGATATAAGACGGTTCAAGCTGGAAAAACTACACTTCCAAAGGCATACATTCAGATTCAGTAATGTATCCCATACGATTTGGTAAATTACTTCCTCTTCCACCAGATTATTTTAAATGGTTTTCTCGAAGCAAGCCTAGCCACCACACTAAATTACAAGAAGTTCCCAGAGAATATACGTGCAGACCAAATTATAATAAATACTTAAAACTTTATAGTGACATAACAGCACTTAGTAGGCAGAGTCCGACCTGGGAAGTCGAGGATCAGTCTTGCGCATTTCTCTCAAATCTTCCATTGATAAAAGCTGTAATTCGGTTTCAGTAAAAGTGTAAGAAGAAGAGGTTCCGAACAAAGTTGCAGAGATGACAGAACTATAAGCACGTTACCGTTTCTGGATCGGGCACATCAGGCATTTGTGCTTGCTGGTGATCAAATCCATCTTCATCTTTCTGTCACATTATTTTACCAATAGTACATGCAGTTTCAAAGACAATATTACAAACATAACAACCAGTCAAAAATAATGGTGTAATGAAAACATAAAAGTGCATCACGTAAAGTTGCACCTAACCAGAAAGTTACTGCAATATTCCAGGCAAAACAAGTGATCCATCAAAGTACCCGTTCATCATTGTAAAGTGTGGGGTTTTTGTGGGGGCAGCAGTTGAATCAAGAAGAAATTAGAATAGTTATTCCATGGTAGGACTTCAAAATGAGCAGAACAAGCATTTGAGAAATGACTGAAATTTGAAGAGCTGATCCAATAGTCTTCCCTAGTGAAGCTTGCTAATTTTCTTGAAACTTTCTTCGTTATAATGTGAGATTAGAAGGTCAGAAATTAATGTCTACATGTGATGCCAACATGATATCCACAGATGACGAATAGGAACAATGATGCAACAGAAATCCAAGTTTTGTTGAATTCTCGCACAACCATGCTTTCTAAGCTGATAGTTCTCCTGAATGCATTTTCTTCAGGTTGTTTTTTTCCACAAATCCTTGTTACGTAGCATGCACGTTCATGCCTTCACATGAATGTAATCATCTTGCTATATACAATCATATTAATTAGGTTATATATTTATGCTGAATTACAAAACCGAACCATAAAAATGGGTATCCTAAGATGAGACCAATTTGAAGAAAGGTTGATCATCACATGAAATGAATGTTATAAACTAAATCACCTGAAATGAAGCTAGCAATGTGAATATGACATTCCCTTTCTGAATCGCATCCACCCTCCGTGTAGCAAAGCTCTTTCCATCACGTACACGGTAAACTTGATATATGATTGGAACTACAGTCATAAGTGTGGGACTGGTAAGATACAAGTTTTTAGACAACTGGATTTACATTGGCAAACGAAAAAAGAGGTCTATATAGATACTTCTGACTGGGATTAAATACTGTTTACCCCACTGAGCTAACTCCTCAGTCTGGCACACATGAGAAAGACCAGAATAACTAGCCATGAAATTAGTAAACTGTCCTCAATAAACAAAACATATTTCATAAATAGTTGACGACTTTAAATCCGAAGACTTCCTTAAGGAACAGCACATGCAGCAAGTTAGCAACAGAAGACGTTTGTTTGAAATGAGCGTATGATCACAGCAAAAGAATCACAGCATATTATACGAGCCTTCACCAAAACACCTTCAATCCTAAGAAAAGTTAGCAAGGTGGTTCATTTTAAATTGCGTAAAATCCTACAAATAAGCAGAACTTGGAGCTTCTGAAAAATACCTAATGCCTGCAGATTGGATGTTTATCATTCTCCTGGCCCCACACTGGGCCTCTCATCCTCTTTCATTGGCTTCTCTTTGGGGGTTGGGTGCAGGGAAATCATTCTAGTTTCTAACATCCACCTTAGCACACAATATAAGTGGAGAACGGAAAAGAAAACCGACTAAATGATTTAACTGGATAAGAACAACAACAACAACAACGACCCAGTATAATCCCACAAGTGGGGTCTGGGGAGGGTAATATGTAAGCAGACCTTACCCCTACCCGAAGGGTAGAGAGGCTGTTTCCAGGAGACCCTCGGCTCAAAAGAAGCAATAGGAGATGATACATTAGTACCGTAAAAATGCGTAATAAAACAGCAACAATATATAAGAGATATGAAATATGAAATACAGGATACGACAACGAAAATACGAAATAGATGGCTGGTATAGTACAACTAGAAGGTAAAGCCCTGCATCAATAGACGCCTAATGACATTCTAGTCTAACTCCTAACTGGATAGTCTCCCTCTATTGTGCTGTAGAAATATTCACACTCTCCCCTAACCTACAACCCTAATGCTCGACCTCCATAAATCCCTATCAAGGGCCATGTCCTCAGTAATCCTAAGTCGTGCCATGTCATGTCTGATCACCTCTCCCCAATACTTCTTAGGTCTCCCTCTACCTCTCTGCGTGCCCACTACAGCCAGTCGCTCACACCTCCTCACCGGTGCATCAGTGCTCCTCCTCTGAATNTATACAACGGGACCATTGTACTCCACCTCCACTCTTCAGGCATTCTATTAGTCTTAACTGGATAAGAAACTTTATGTAATTGTTGAGTGCACTAAAGAGCTTTATCATTGCAAGTTGATTCTTTTCTTCAGTAGTCTAAATCCAACCTCTGCTCCAAATGTTGAGGGTGTTCAAATTTTAAAGAATACTGACAAACTGAAAGTCGTAATACGTTTATCTTTTACTTAAAAAGGTTAAGGTTATTAACATAGACAAATCTCTCTTTTCAGTTCCGCATTGTGCAAACCCGTAACTGCGCAAACATTGTACCTCTTGGAACCTCAACACGAGCAGACATAAAATATTTCATGCACATCCACTAATAAATAGGGAAGAATATCTGATTCTCCAAAACAACACTAGATGAATTGTTAGCTTAAATTTCTCTAACTTAATAGGGAGGGAAATCGTCAACATTAGGATGAATCCTTAATTGAAAGTCATATGACTGTTCTCTTAAACAATGGAAAACTGAAAAACTTAATATTACTGTTGCATCCACACCCCATAATGAAATGACTGCATGTGAGAATTATCTTAAGCAGAAATATGGACAAGTTTCATCAAATCATACAGCTGTGCGCTTTGGCAATGATTCCCAAGGAATACAAAGAAAAGAGTATTAGCATATATTGGTTGTTTATTTCAGATGTAGCATAGCAGTTATGCATCATTAAACATTAGAAAGGTTAGAAAAGAGGTGCTTAAAGTATCAAAGAATAAAGGGAATTTACTTACTGTCAAAATCCCCAACGAGAAGGAAATAGGCATGCAAACTATGAACAATTTTGAGAAAATCAACAGTTTTTGATGCTGCAGCCAATGCCTGCATATTAGAATATAGAGAATGAAGCATAATTATTCACAAAGAGGTCTTCAGTCTTCTGAAGCTAAACCCCAATAGAAGTGGGTGGTCTACGGCATGGTGAAGAAAGAGAACATTTCAATTTTACCTGCCCAAGAAACTGGCCTCCAAACACTTTCCCAAATTTGGGGGCATCTGGCAAAGTTATACCTTGGAAAATGTTCACCTTCAACAAAACATTTTGTTAGAATTCCCAAATACTCCTCATTTGCAGGGGCACACTGAACTGGGAATACAGTGAAACATCAAACTTCAGAAAAGAAATGTTCCGAAGGCAAACAATCAGCAAGTGCATGGTGATAGACTAGCAATTATCCTGATCTACCAAATTATCTTGAATAACACATTCAAACATGCTTTATCAAAAAACACATTCAAGCATTCATAAGAACAAGTATCTACTTTCTTAAGCAAATCGAGCCTTTAACAAATCTATCAGAGCTTGCTAAAGAAAGCATATGAAATAAATGGAACCATGATCTCACAAAAGAAAGACAAGAGACTAGGATTTCAATGTGCAATAGTAAAGATTGAAACAATATCACCAGCTATGCACCAAGAAGTTCCTTTCTTGGATACCGCCAACAATATGTTAGGCAAAAATCACTGATGCTTCAAGGGGAAGTCAAACATATTTCTTATGTATTATAGATGTCTTTAGAATTTAAACTATTGGAAGGAGGCCAAATGTTGTAAATGATATATAAATTGCATTGGACTTCATTGACTCCTTGCCCACATAAAGGAGTCAAGTCCTGTGAGATTTTCTGTATACACTCATTACCTCCTTGGTGCTGCAGTTATTTTTGAATTAAAATTATTTTTTAGAAAAATAATATAAAAAGAAACTTAGTAGTTTTTTCCTAGTAGTTAGAAGAAGGATCCTATGTTAGCCCCAAGTAGTTAAGAACTCAAAGCCACTTATTAGCAGTATCTTCTGGATACAAGTCAATTAAGTCTCTACTTTCTAACATGCAGGGAAACCCATTTGCCTTTACAATCCGAACTACTCACTAGTTAACACCATCAGCTAACAGGTGCAAGCCCATATCTCTAGATGGGGAGGAAAGGGGAGAGAAAGCTTAAGCATTGAGAATCATGCATACAGGTTCCAAAGCCAGAAAAATGATGGAGATTAAACTCCAAAATTTTGTTAAAGGCCATAGCATCTCATAGGAGGCTAACTTAGGTACATAAATTGGCATAGATAAATAAGTTTAATAAATAGAAAAAAGGAAAGAATACAGAAAGTTCATGGCCAACATATAAAAGGAACGGGAGGTCAATGATGAATAGCATACTTCTATAGAATCCAAGTGCAATATGTGCTCCACAAGTGGGCACTTATCTCTTTCTTTGTCTGCGTTCCAGATTGATTTGGGCTGGAGCAGATTATTATGCTCATGAGGCAGCACAAAGCATGTCAGCTGCCATAAGAGAAAGTTTAACATGACTACAACATTAGATGCAGAATGCTTTGGACATCATGAAGTAAATACGGAAAGAGAACTGTTGCATAGTTGGAAAGAGACAGTACCTTAGACAATGCGATCACCTCAGCTTGCTGTCTAGATGTCGCCAAACCTGCCATAACATCTGAACCGTGTTATCACCACCACTTTTGATTTAACCAAACATTAAGATTGAAAGTCTAAAAGTGCTAGAAAATCAGTGTGCTACTAAGAGAGGCCAAAAAGGAGACCTGCAGAGGGATAGTAACTGAATCTGAACTCTAAAGAGACATATAAAATATTATACAGCAAATAGTTATTACACTTGAGTAGCGGCCATAACAGGGCAAGATAGTCAATTTAAAAATTCCTCGAATTTGGAAGTTGGGATTGAGAGAAAATCAAGAGACACAAAATATATATGAAGATGAGAAAGTGCATCTCACCATGACCAAAATAATCAAGTTTTTTCAGCTGGAATTCAGGACGATTTTCATCATCAGCCTGGCTGAAACCCCGGACTTCAGCCTGGAAATAGTATTACCATAATAATAGAAAAGTTCAATCTCATGACTTATATTCATATATATCCAGTACAACTAAAGCAAAAATAACACTCAGATATACCTCTCCATCCCATATGAAGTAAACTCCCTCCCCAGCTTCCCCTTCGCGGATAACATAATCTCCACGATCTGCAATGAAAACACAAAATGAATTGAAAAAAAAAAAAAAGAGATGTGTCAATCATGATCTTATATCTTTTATCAGACTTATTGAATTGCAATATCTATGTCTTGCTCCAGCCTAGCAATATGGCCAGAAGACAACCCGAAAAAATGGATTCTCCAACTGGTATAGGCCACATGACCAGAAGCAAATGCCCCAAGTCTTTCTGTTACCCCCTAAAGGAACAGCAACCATTCCACTTCCAAGAAGTAGAAATAAGAGCTAAAATGTGTTAACTCTCCAAAAAGAGAAATAAAATAGCTATAAATTGATTTTCTTCAAAAATAGCAAAAAATTGATAGATAATGNCTTTTATCAGACTTATTGAATTGCAATATTTATGTCTTGTTCCAGCCTAGCAATATGACCAGAAGACAACCCGAAAAAATGGATCTCCAACTGGTATAGGCCACATGACCAGAAGCAAATGCCCCAAGTCTTTCTGTTACCCCCTAGAGGAATAGCAACCATTCCACTTCCAAGAAGTAGAAATAAGAGCTAAAATGTGTTAACTCTCCAAAAAGAGAAATAAAATAGCTATAAATTGATTTTCTTCAAAAATAGCAAAAAATTGATAGATAATGAATCTTCATTGTCTTGTTATAGTTATAAGGAAAATAAATCCACTATAAACTATAATTATTTCATTTTATAGTTATAATGAAGGAGAGCCTTGGCGTAACTGGTAAAGTTGCTGCCATGTGACCAGGAGGTGACGGGTTCAAGCCGTGGAAACAGCCTCTTGCAGAAATGCAGGGTAAGGCTGCGTACAATAGACGCTTGTGGTCCAGCCCTTCCCCGGACCCCGCGCATAGCGGTAACTTAGTGCACCGGGCTGCCCTTTTTTATTTCATTTTAGGTAGAATATTTCCAGTATAACAATAGAGTTTATTAGACTTTACCAAACATTGAGCAACCTAGTAGAGAAGTACTATAGCTGAAACTCTGATACTATCACTCTGTGTCACACTGATTAATCAAATATTAAATCCTTCATTGTTATGTTAATACAACGAACATAAAATTCAGTTCCTGATAACTTCTGAAGGTCATAGCTATTATATAGGACAGAATTAAAAAATTAAAGAAATAGTAAGTTTAAATTTATGGGACACTCAGGAAAAATAAGAATGAAATTACCATAATGTTTAACCTTGACGAGTTGGGCAATTTTTCTGAGGGAAGAACTGGGCAGCCTCTGTAACAATGGCACGTCACCCAAGAACTCAATCACTACACAAAAACCCAAATCCATCAGAAATTTGTACATGTGTTTTTCTTGCAGAATTCTAATAACTAAAGGAACATTACAAAGAAAATAACAAAAACAAGACCAAGAAAGAACTCTAATTAATCAATTAGATCAACTGAGTTCCAAATACCGAACTAGTTCGAGAGGCTAATGAATAATTTAACGTGGAAAATTTCACAGAAATTAGCCAAGGATTTACCTGATTCAGTATCCATGTTTGAATCACCAGAGGGATAAACCAGGAAACTGTCGGAAAGAGTTAACACTCAAGAATTTCAGTGGAAAACAGAAAGTTAATATAAAGAGTGATTTTAATAGAATATACGGTTGTTGCCAATGGAGTATTGCCAGTTATTTAGGCTGAATTTAGAAAGGACACTAATACGAAGGCCTACATACACAAGATGCGGTGCAAAAAGACACGGGTAAATTTAAATTTGCCCCACGTTTTTACATTCTTAACTGGAGTACCAATTTTAAACGTGTCCAATTTGGAAAAATATTTACAAATAAAACAATTACAAAAAATGTTTTCACTTTTAGCTTTTTTGAATACTGTGCCCATTTTTTATCGTTTGGATGAGTAAATGGCACGATATAGCCAATTTTTGGACTGGTCATTCAAAAATAGCTAGCGTTTACGAAGTCAATAAAAAATCGTCACTATTTTGCTGCAACAGAGACCGGTCCAGCATAATATACTGGAGTTCGGTGCACCTGTGTATGAACTCCCGCATATTATGCTGGACCAGTATATTTTGTTGACTCCAGTATAATATACTGGAGACTGGAGCATCGGTGCTCCAAACTCCAGTATATTATACTGGACAATTATACTTGCTGGAACTCCAGTATATTATGCTGGAGTTCTAGTGTACTTATGCTGGAACTCCATCATATTATACTGGAGTTCCAGCATACTTATCCTGGAACTCTAGTATAATATGCTAAAGTTCAAGCATACTTATGCTGGAACTCCAGTATAATATACTGGAGTATTTTTCGGGTTTTGAACAGTGTTTTCGCTCAGATTTATCTTTACATGAAAAGTGGCTAAATTTCGATTACTTTAAAACTCGACTATTTTTGAACGACCAGTTGTAAATCTGGCTATTTTTGAATTTCTCCCTTTGGATGAGGGCGACGTGGGGTATGGTTTTTTTTTTTTAACAAAAACTTTTATACCTCAAAGGTGGGAAAAGACTAAGGGTGTATTGTGGGACGGGCCCGGGCCTAAATGGGTTAAACGGGCCAAATGGTCTCGGGCTCTGGCGGGCCGGTCTCGGGCGGTCCCAGGCCAAACGGTCCCGGGCTTAGCGGTCCTGGAGGGTGGAATGGCCCACATGGTCCTGGGCTAAATGGGCCGGGCCTAAACGGGTCTAAGTGTACCGGGTTATTTTTTTTTTTTTGAAATTTTTTATCTAAAGCAATTTCTTGTAAATTATATATATATATAGTATATATAGTATGTATTATATATACTATCTATATCTATAATAATATATATATATCTATATAAGCTATATAATTTACAAGAAATTGTCTTAGATAAAAGAAAATTTTTAAAAATAATAGTCAAGGCCCGTTTCCTCTTTAATTTAACAGTACAACACAAATACAAACATAGAAACTTAGCATAACTTAAATTCAGTACAACTAATGAAAACACATGACACGGGAAACATAAAGATATACTACTAGGCTCAACACGTACATGTCATTGTTTAGTCACAACCGCCTAGTATTCTCTGCTCCAACCACTTAAATTTGTCTTCCAGCTTATTTTTTTCTTCTTCCACCTCTTTGAGTTTCTCCTTCAACTCTGCAACTTCTCGTTAGGATTGTCACTCTCTTTCCCACTGCTTCTAACACAAACAATGAAGATACTGCAATTTTTCTTTGTAGTATTCCTGCTGACAGCGTTCATCAATCCATACCTCAAAACTGCAAACAGGTTCGTCGGGAACCCTATAAAACTTGTTCATACACGCCCAGTAGCGGCGTCCAGCTTCACCATCATCCCAACAGTCTTGCATCATGCATTTTTTGCCGCAGTCGCACCTTGGCACATAAAGGGGTTCAGACATTTGTTAAAGCGTAATGAAAAACCTTGCTTTTATGGAAATATTTGCTATTGGTTATTGTTAAGCGCATAAAATAACTAGAATGCGCCCGTTATTTGTAGACAAGACAACACACAAAATGTAGTATTGTACCGCACTATACATATTCACTTTTTTTGAAATGAAACAGTTTTTTTGCAGTCGGTCAGCTTTTCAGACCGACAAGACAACACACAAAAAGTATTCCACCACCACCTATATATATTCACTTTTTCTGAAACGAAACAGCTTTTCTGCAGTCGGTCAGCTTTTCAGACCGACATGACAACACACAAAAAGTAGTCCACCACCACCTATACATATTCATTTTTTCTGAAACGAAACAGCTTTTCCGCAGTCGGTCAGCTGTTCAGACCGACAAGACAACACACAATTTATGTTTTTAAGTTGATTTGAGACAATTTGTGTTAAATTATATAATTTATATATATATATATATA